AGCCGAGCACTGCGGCGGGCGCCTGTAGTCCCAGCTACTTGGGAGGCTGAAACAAGAGAATTGCTTAAATCCAAGAGTTTGAGGTTGCTGTAAGCTATGACACCATCCATGGCACTCTACCAAGGGCAAAGTGAGACACTGTCTCAAAAAAAAAGTGGTAATTGCTTCAAGAGGTTTCTACAAAATGTGCAAGAACAAAGACAAATACCTTCCTATAAGCTCTTATTAAAAAAACAAAAATAGGCTCAGCACCTGTAGCTCAGTGATTAGGATGCCAGACACAAACACTGGGGCTAGTGGGTTCAAACCCTTCCCAGGCCTGCTAAACAACAATGACAACAACAAAATAGCCAGGGGCATTGTAGCAGGCCCCTGTAGTTCCAGCTACCGGGAGGCTAAGGCAAGAGAATAGTTTAAGCCCAAGAGAGTTTGAGGTTGCTGTGAGATATGATGCCACAGCACCCTACTGAGAAGGACATAGTGAGACTCTGTCTCAAAAAAAAAAAAATGGATAAACTCTGCTGGGCTAATGAATGGGCTTACAAATAAGCAGCAGCAAGCATTTAATCCTATGGACTCTTCTATCTATTCATTATTGAGTGCTCAACAAGCTACTTCATCTTACTGTGCCTTGGTTTATAAAGCTATAGAATGTCCAATGAGTGGTAATGAGAGATTGTTTTACAGAAATTTTGCAAGCAACACAGTTATGTAAGGCAGATTCTTATCTGCCATAGTCCAAGTTAAATAGCCTATTTTAAATAGTAAATATGCGCTGGGTACAGTGGCTCATGCCTGTAATACTAGCACTCTAGGAGGCCAAGGTGGGTGGACTGCCTGAGCTCAGGAGCCTAAGACCAGCCTGAGCAAAAGTGAGACCTTGTCTCTACTACAAATAGAAAAGCTAGCCAGGAATTGTGGGAGCACCTGTAGTCCCAGCTACTCGGGAGGCTGAGCCAAGAGGACTGACTGCTTGAGTCCAAGAGTTAGAGGATGCTATGAGCTATGACACCACAGCACTCTACCCAGGGTGACAAGACTAAGACTCTGTCTTGGCTCGGCGCCTG